CTAGACGAGATGACGAAGATCAACAGGTTATGAGCCCAACACGCTAAAGCGAAAGCAAAAGCTCCGACTATGCTGAACGGGACATATGGTTCAGTGGGGCCAATGACGATGGACGATGAGGTCAGGCAGTCTGGTGTGGCTCCTGGTGTGCAGAGCGAAGTGACGAGTTCTGGAACTGGAAGGGCCGTGAGTGGGCCCAGTGCAGCTTCACTGAGAGCAGCGGCTGGAAAGGTCATGGCGACAGTAGCTGCAAAGGTTCAAGAGGTGATGCCGCCTTCCGGCAGGAATGTTTCCGCTGCTTCGTTCTTGGCACAGGAGGACGCGGGATCTGCAGGTACTGTGGGTTCTGGATATGTCACGGCGGGGTCTGAACCTCAAAGAGAAGCACCTGTCATGGAGGAGCGAGATCAAGGCCAGCTAGGTTTATTCTCGCCACAACAAGCCAGAAGACTGCAACAGATGGAGTCGGAGGCTCCTCTGCTGTATCCTGGAGAAGATGGCAGTGCGCGGCCGACGAGCCCTCTTCCACAGTTGCCTCACTCTACGAGTTCTGGATCTGATCAAGCCGAAGCTATTCAGGCGGAAGTGAAGAGACAGATGCAGTCGTATCTGATTGTACAGGCGGAATTGCAGCAGAGAGTAGCAGTATTGGTAGAGGAGAACCAAGTTCTCAGACAGGTAGCTGCTTCGAATGAGGTAGGCTCAGAGGCTCAGGGTTCACAAGCTGGAAAGGGTGGGTGGTTTAGTGGTATTCGAAGGAATATTCTGGGGCTGGTTCAACAGGTACCTATGAAAGCCGCAGGGATGCCACTAGCCATCCCCGAAGGTTGGGCAGCGTCTTCGAGTTCTTTCATTGCCCCGCCACCAGCCCAAGGAGTATCCACCAATCCAACCTCAGGGTCCCAGCTTCAGCGTCAGCAGCAGCCTGTAGTTGCCACGGCAATTTCACCCTCTGTTGCAAATCCCACCTCGTATGGTTTAGTACCCACACGAGCGGCCTCAACGACTATGGAACCACAGAGCCAATCACCTTGGCAGTCCTCGGGAATTGCCCAGAGTTTGAGTAAGCCGTCGGG